TGCCCGTGTGAGGGAGGGAGGGCTGAGTGCAGACTGTGTGCCCGTGTGAGGGAGGGCTGAGTGCAGACTGTGTGCCCGTGTGAGGGAGGGAGGGCTGAGCACAGACTGTGTGCCTGTGTGAGGGAGGGCTGAGTGCAGACTGTGTGCTCGTGTGAGGGAGGGAGGGCTGAGCGCAGACCGTGTGCCCGTGTGAGGGAGGGAGGGCTGAGCACAGACTGTGTGCCCGTGTGAGAGAGGGCTGAGTGCAGACTGTGTGCCCGTGTGAGGGAGGGAGGGCTGAGTGCAGACCGTGTGCCCGTGTGAGGGAGAGAGGGCTGAGCACAGACTGTGTGCCCGTGTGAGGGAGGGAGGGCTGAGTGCAGACTGTGTGCCCATGTGAGGGAGGGCTGAGTGCAGACCGTGTGCCCGTGTGAGGGAGGGAGGGCTGAGTGCAGACTGTGTGCCCGTGTGAGGGAGGGCTGAGTGCAGACTGTGTGCCCGTGTGAGGGAGGGAGGGCTGAGCACAGACCGTGTGCCCATGTGAGAGAGGGCTGAGTGCAGACTGTGTGCCCGTGTGAGGGAGGGAGGGCTGAGCACAGACTGTGTGCCCGTGTGAGAGAGGGCTGAGTGCAGACTGTGTGCCCGTGTGAGGGAGGGAGGGCTGAGTGCAGACCGTGTGCCCGTGTGAGGGAGGGAGGGCTGAGTGCAGACCGTGTGCCCGTGTGAGGGAGGGAGGGCTGAGTGCAGACCGTGTGCCCGTGTGAGGGAGGGAGGGCTGAGTGCAGACCGTGTGCCCGTGTGAGGGAGGGAGGGCTGAGTGCAGACCGTGTGCCCGTGTGAGGGAGGGAGGGCTGAGCACAGACCGTGTGCCCGTGTGAGGGAGGGAGGGCTGAGCACAGACTGTGTGCCTGTGTGAGAGAGGGCTGAGCACAGACTGTGTGCCCGTGTGAGAGAGGGCTGAGTGCAGACTGTGTGCCCGTGTGAGGGAGGGAGGGCTGAGCACAGACTGTGTGCCCGTGTGAGAGAGGGCTGAGTGCAGACTGTGTGCCCGTGTGAGGGAGGGCTGAGTGCAGACCGTGTGCCCGTGTGAGGGAGGGAGGGCTGAGCGCAGACCGTGTGCCCGTGTGAGGGAGGGCTGAGTGCAGACTGTGCCCGTGTGAGGGAGGGAGGGCTGAGTGCAGACTGTGTGCCCGTGTGAGGGAGGGAGGGCTGAGTGCAGACCGTGTGCCCGTGTGAGGGAGGGAGGGCTGAGCACAGACTGTGTGCCCCTGTGAGGGAGGGAGGGCTGAGTGCAGACCGTGTGCCCGTGTGAGGGAGGGAGGGCTGAGTGCAGACTGTGTGCCCGTGTGAGGGAGGGAGGGCTGAGCACAGACCGTGTGTCCGTGAGAGGGAGGGCTGAGCGCAGGCCGTGTGCCTGTGTGAGGGAGGGAGGGCTGCGTGTAGTCCCTCTGGGACCTGCCAGAGCCCCTGCTGCAACCAGCGAGCCGTGCTCTGTGGAACCCCCTATGGTGCCTCTCTGCTCCCACAGCCCTGTGCGTGGTGAGCTCCAGCCCCCCGCTCCTGGGCCTGAGTGGTCAGTGGGAAGGCTGCAGGGCGTGCCTTCCTCTTGCTGAGCCCACTTGCACTTCAGGATGTTGGCCTTCTGATCCCCTTGTTCACCCAGCAGCTGGGGAGTCACCAATGCATGACAGGCAGACCCCATCTCTGTCCTCCCCTCTGCCCACCTCACCATTTCCCACCTAGTGCTCAGGGAGCCGGTCTTAGAAACGCTACAGACACAGAGTGAGGGACCTAGAGTGAGGAAGCCGGGCACCGGGACATACTGTCCATGATGAGATCTGTCCCAGCCATCGGGGAGGAAACAAATACATAGCCAAGATCTCTTCATTTAAAAAATTTCTTTTAAAAAATAAAGTGTCACGGAAATGCATTGTATGGAGAATAAAGTGAGGACTGCATTACTGCTCGATTCAGAGACCAGCGTGCTCTGTGCTTTATTTCGATAAAGCGGGAGATAAAGATGCAGGCTGGGCTTCCCTGATCAGTCTCCTGTGCATCTGACTGGAACTTCCCCTGAGACAGGAAGCTCTGCAAGCACGAAATCATCGAAAGGAGGGGAAGGAGGAAGTGCTGGCCAAGAGAAAAGAGGAACAGGCACCACCAAAGCGGTTTAAAACGGACCGGAGGGCAGTGGCGTGCCGGCGTGCCACTGAGGTAAGCAGGATCCCCTGTGCTGTGAGGAGACCAGCTCAGCTTCATCGCCGACGGCTTTTGCCGCATCAAGCCTGTCTGGGGTGGCCGGGGGTGGTGTGGGTGTGCTGCTGGTTCTTTGCAGGTGTGTCTGCTCACAAGGTGAGGTTTGCTTGGCTGTTGCGTTGTTTCCAAACAGAAGGGCAGGGTCTGACTTTGAAAATCCAGAAGTTTATCAACAAGTTGTGATTTTAAGACAAATGAAGAATTGTTGGGTAACCGGTTGGAACTATTTTCCAAAAAAAACCACCAAAAAGTCTTCTTCCAGATTGAGCAAAGAGAAGCTTATTGATGGTGAGACTAAAAGGCTTTTGTTTACTGTGTTTTCATTCTACCAGGTCCTTGTGTATGTATTGTGTGGTTTTCCCGTTAACTTACTTTGAAGAAAAGAAAGGGTGCATTTATTTTCCTGAAGAAAGTCCTCTCTTTGTCTAAGTGACACGTCTCTGACGAGCAGTTGTAACACTGGGGTGTCCTGCAGCATCTGTTCTGCTCAGAGCAGCTCCTCCCGGGAGCTGAGGGGCGACTCCCCAGTGGGTGCTGCCTGGCACCTTCTAAGGAGCTGATGCCTCTCACCCAGGGTTTAAAATTTGGCTCCCATGTGAGCAAACAATTGCTGGAGTGCGTAAGTGTGCTGTGAAACAGAACGAGTGTGACCAGCTCTCCGCTGTGTCCGGAAGGACATGCCAAACCCTTGTCCTTGGAGTTTGGCGTGTGGAGGAGGGACCCACAAAAGTGCCCGAGAGTCCGTCATGTGTTGGTGGGGTATGGTCCCTGAGGTGTGTCAGACACATTCACATCCATTGTGTGTCCGCCTGATGGATTGTAATTAGGAGTAGCGTGGACAAGGTTTCTATTGGACTGGACGAGTCACAGAAAGCCAGGCCCAGGTTGTGGGCTTCCTTTTTCCTGTCCATGGTTATATGTTACCTAAGGCAGGCTGCTCATTCATTAACCAACCCTTGATCAACGAGCCATGCTGATCACAGAGGTGAATTAGATAAGCTCCCAGCCCTCGAGTCACAGCGACACAACAGCTGTGTGTGTCAGGAATCTGGGTGAGAATAGTGTTTGGAGGAAGTTTTACTTGAATCTTGATTCAGTAGCTTCTTGCTTGTTAAAGAAGTGACTTACCTGCTTTAATCTTGTCTTTTATCATGTGTAATGTGGAGACTACAGCAGCGTCTGCTTCGTGTGGCAGCCACAGGTTTGAAGGAGCTAGTAATCCAGGGAAGGGTGTTAGAAGGTGACCAAAGGAAACTCTGAACTGGAGATTAATTAATTAAAGACGATAATCCTTTCACAAGCACAATGAACAATATCCGGTGACTGTATTGTTAACAATATTGCATATTTGAACAGATCTTAAAATTTCTCACCTCAAGAAAAAAACTGTAACTATCGGAGGTGATGAGTGTTAACTGAACTTAATGTATCAGTCACTTCAAAATATACACACCTGTCAAATTATGTGGCACATCTTCAACATATATCCAGTGTATGTCAATTACATCAATAAGACAAAAAACAACTACTGGGTGTAACTATTTCCCTGTGTGATTGGGAAAACACTGTGATATTTTGTTGATAAAAATCAAACTAGAGCATCAGTACAGTCCTTTCTGTTTCTCTGTGCAATTTTAAAACAGAGAAGAAAACTCTCTAACATTTTAATTGAATGGAAGTTGTTGGCTGGAAGTTTTGAGGATGGTGCTAGGAAGGCTTCCAACAATATTTTGTTTTATGTCACATTTATCTTCTCTTAAGCATAAACTGTTCCCTCCTGTAGAAGACATATCTTGAGGTATATTTTTAAAGGTTTTTTTTTTTTTTAAATTGATGTTTAGCTAGAAGAAAGGAGAGAAACACTGACCATTGGCTGCCTCCTGCACTCCCCCTGCTGGGGATGGAGCCCGCAGCCTGGGTATGTATGTGCCCTAGAACTGGCCGCCTTTTGGTGCATGGACAACGCCAGATCACGCCAGCTGAGCCGTATGTTGAGTTTTGAAGCGTCAGTGTAAGCAGGTTGGTGCGGGATTGGAGCCAGTTGTGTGTTCCTCGTTCCTTCAGCATCACTGATGCCTCCTCTGCGCCAGGTCTCTGTTCTCTAGCCTGGAAAGATGCCCAGGCCTGGCCCGCCCGGTTTGCCAGGTGGGAGGCAGCCTCCACTCCCGGCGGGGGTTGTCAGCTGCGCAGGGAGTGCGGTAGCTCGGGGTGTGGGCGCGAGGAAATGCCGGCCTTGTGGGGCCGAAGGCCCTTGTGGGGTGGGCCGGTGTGTGCACGCCGCCCTCCGGAATCGGGGTGTCGGTGGGAATGGGGTGTTCTCAGAGGTGACCAATATGCTCCTTCTTCCCCGTAGGCCCCGGATGGCAGCCCGCCCTGCCGTGCTTTCCCTGGGTTTTCTCTTTTGCTGCTGCCCGCCCGGCCAGGCGGCCTCGCCTCCCCGCGCAGCCCAGGAAGCACCGTGGGGCCCGGTGCCCCCCGACGCCGTGCAGCTGCTGTGGGACGGGCACGAGGTGCGGAACCTCAGCCTCGACGACCGGCTCTGCCTGGCCACCGCCTGCCTCCGGGCGCTGCCGCCCGCTGTCCTCTCGAGCCTCAGAGGGCGATGCCTGGGGGAGCTCCCACCGGCGGCCTCCACCCAGAACCGGGACCAGGACCAGGACCAGCACCAGCACCAGAACCACAGCCTCCTCGTCCTCACCGCGGGCTGCGCCTGTGAGTTCCTGCGGGGCCTCGGCGTCCCCCCGAACGCCACGGCCTGCGCCGCGATGCTGCAGGGCTGCGTGGGCGGGGCCGGCGTGGCCGTGGCCGTGGGGCTGTCCCTGCTGCTGGCGGCGGCGGCCGGCGGGGCGGCCTGCGTCTGGCGCTGGAGGCACCGGGGCCGGCCGTCCCTGGCGCTGCCCGGCTTCCTGCGGCGGCAGCACCGGCGGGGGGACTACTCTCAGACGCTCTCCGCGGGCCGCCCCGGCGGCGGCGCCAAGGCTCCCGGCCCGCACCCCCAGGACCCCCAGGACCCCCAGGACCACTACGAGAACCTGCCTGCGGGCGGCCGTGGGCCAGGGCTGTACGAGAACGCGGGCCGGGCCGCCTGCGAGGAGCACGTCTACGGGAACCAGGCCTCGGGCGACTATTACAACTTCCACGCGCCCGGCACACCTGCCAGCCCGCAGGACGAGGACATCTACATCCTCCCCGACGCGTACTGACCGCCGCGGCCACCAGAGCCAGCCGAGCCGTTGCCCTGGCTTCCCATGGAAGGTCACTGGGACCTGCCCAGTCTCCGTGGGCGCCCAGGGAGGAGTCTCAGCTCCCGCCCTGCGCCCCCTCCCTGCCCGAGCCTCCTCCCTGCCTGCTAGGCCCACAGTTCCCCAGGACGCTGCCGATTTTTCCCCGAAACACCTTCAAGGGCCACATCAGTCTGTAGCCTTTGCAGAAGACCTCTGACTGCGGGATTCCTGGCTTCCACAGCTGGTTTCCATTTCCCTCCCGGGGACTTCTCTGCTTCCTCACAGCCACCTGGAAAGGCCCACGTGCCTGTCCCTGCCCCCTTCCTGGTCACACTCACCTGCCTCTGGTCAGAGCCTCTGCAGGGCCTGCCAGCCCAGGACACTGTCCTCCTCCTGTCCTGACCTCCGGATTCTGCTGCCCGTCACTCTGAGCATTTACACACAGTGTGCTGTGGCACATTATATGTGCGATGTCCCAGGAGAACGCCTTGAACTCCCCACAAATGCCAAGTGCCTCACGCTCAGAGTCCGCCAGGGTCTGGATCGCGTCCAAGGCACTCATTCCTGTTCAGGGGACAAGAATGCACATTTTGCTAAGCAGTTGTTGTTTGTTTTGTTTTTAAAAGAAGGTGTCCGTCCAAGGAGAATGTACTGAGTGCCTCTGTCTGCTTCTCACTGAGCTGGTCCATGGGGCCGCGGAGAGAGGGGAGGAGGCCTGGGTCCCAGAAAGAAAATGCATTAAAAACCAACAGAAGCTGTGCTGGCGAGAGAGCTGACCCCTCCTCTCCACCCCACGAGGTTGGGCTGTGCCCGTAGGCACTGTTCCCCCCCACACAGATGGACCCGAATCAGGTTCTGACTAGGTGGGCTGAGGGAGACCCCTGGGGACATGTTCCTGGGTCCTGCCATCCTGTGACTGACCCAGCATCATGGCAAGTTGCAGATGCTCATTCCTTCCAGCCCTCCTGCCACCAGTCCCTCCATCTGTGGGTCAGCAATGCCAGGCAGCACCCTCCCACCCCTGGGCTGAGAGCCACTCTCCAGGGCCCCTCCCAGGTCTAGTCTGGCCCTGCTGGTGCCCCCTTCTGGTCCTGGTGGTCCTAGCCCTCTGCTCTTGCTGCTTCCTGCCCCACCTGCCTCTGTCTTTAATTCCTGACTTTTCCATCCCTCAGTTCCTTTTTGGCCAATTTTCTATATTCAATTCTCCCTGTTAAAACGATCTGACTTGTGTTTTGTCCCCCCCCCCCCAAGTGGACCCCAAGTGGCACAAGGAAAATGTATAGCAGGTGCTTTAAAGGAAAGAAAATGTGTTCTGCTTTTGAGAGCCATGGACTTGGGATGGGAAGCAGGTTTGGGTTTAAGAAGGTCAAAGGAGGCCTCTCTGAGGACAGACTTGAACTGAGACAAGGAAGAAACAGTAATTTGTGTAAATGTGATGGGCAGGATGGGCCAGCTTGCGGGGAGGATCAGAGGCATGAAAGATTGGGGTGCTCTGGGGACCTGAGACACAGTGTAGCTGAATGTAGTGGGGACCTGTGGTGGCACCAGTGGGGGTGACACCGGGTGGGGTTGCAGGAGGACCCGGAGACAGCTGCTTGCAGGGCTGGTGTGTGGCTCAGAGGCCAGCACAGCAGGGATGTGATGACATTTACGTTTTGAAAGGAGTCATGGCTGAGGAATGAATGACTGCGAGGGGCCAGGTGGAAATTTGTGATGAAATGCATAAAGGTTAGAAATGGCTCCTTTTGCCTTCTCCAGAGAAATGGTTACAGTGCTCTCTGGACAGAGCATGGGGCCATGTTCAAGGCCCAGGAGGACGCCTTCTGCTAGAGGAACCACTCCCCAGAACTCTGCAGCGCCTGTGACGGGGACAGTCTGACCAAGGCCCCCAGTGCCTGTGCTGGGAGGGTTGGGAGGGGCTGGGAGGACAGGGATCTGGGTGGGCAGCAGCCTGAGTCCTGGTGTGTGTGTGGGGAGGGGGAAGGGGTGACCGGAGAGGCAGGCCCTGGAGAAGCCCTGGGAGTATCTGGCCTGAGCAGTGAGGGAGGCTGTTGTGCAAGGTTTCTGTGGCTGAGGCAGAGCCAGGGTGGTGGAGCTGGCCGTCACCGCGGCACAGAGTGTAAGGCAGAGGGGGATGGGGTTCAGGTCACAGCTGAGAGCAGGTGCCGTTGCCGCTGTTGGCCCTGGTCCCAGAGCCCAGATCTGTGTCGCAGGCCAGATGAGCCCACACTTTACACTGCAAGCCACACGCACTGTCTCCTCTCCCGCCCCCGACATCCTTCCTCATAATTGTGGTAATGTGGTCACTTTTGCTAGTAACACAACACAAATCCAAACGGCTATTCTCAGTAGATGTGGACAGACTTTCTTTATCTTGCAGGGACAGCTTGACTCCTGGGTCTTTAAGAAGGCAGAGAAATGTAATAAAGGATGCAGATAGGAGACAGAAATTGAAGGGGTGCAGGGAAGAAGAGGAAGGAGGAGACGTGGCAAGGGGGTGAAAAGGAGAGGAAGACAAAAGGGAATAGGAAACAGGAAAGGACAAGCATGGAGTATGTGCTGAAAAGAGAAACTGAATACAATCTCCATTGTTCTCTGACCCCCATTACTGCTAGCAAGGTTAGCTGTAAGAAGAGCGAAGTGTTTGGGTGTATAACCTGGTTGAATGCAGACACCAGCTAGCTGCTAGCAAATACCTGACCCCTGTGCCCTAGGCAGGGAGTGTATGGGTCCCTGACCTTCCTGCCTGGCCTCCCACCTGCATGAACTTGGGGACATGGCTGCCTGGCGGCCGGACGCTCTTCTCCCAGACACCCAGCTAGTGAGCTCATCCCATTTAGCTCTTCCACAACAAGACACCTGCCAGACAGGCAGAGGCTGAGGGAACAATGTTCCAGAAAGAGAGACAGCCATGTGGGACCCAGAGCACAGGATGTGTTCAAGAACCTGAAGGAGATACACGCCATGTACCTGTAGCGTGAGGACGAGAAATACAAGAGGCAGGAGTCCCGTGAGCTTAGGTCCCTGGCACAGAGTGGGGGCTTTGCCTGACAAAGCTGGTGTCCACGAGGCACCCGGCTTGGAAGATAGAATGACACAAACTTTTCAGCCACTGGATATTGCAAGCCATGAATTTCCAAGCTGGGACAGAAGGTGGGAAGAAAGGTTCTGAGGTTCAGGATATAGACCTGGATATCAGTGAGCACTGTCTGAGTTTCCAAATAAGCAGAGCTCTGTGGTGTCTAAAATTATATATAGTTTATGGGTTTCAGAGAGGGGTGAAGAGGGAGAGAGAGAAGTACCAATAATGAGAGAATCATTAATGGGCTGCCTCCTGTACGCCCCCTACTGGGGACCGAGCCTGCAATCCTGGCATGAGGCCCTGACCTGGAATTGAACCCTGACCTCCTGGTTCATGGGTTGATGCTCACCCACTGAGCCATGCAGGCCCAGCTATGGAGTCTTACTAAGGCTCTGCAGCTTTTACTTTAAATTCGGCTCCTGCAGTTTCGCTGTTTGAGATTCTCCCAGCAGAGATGAGAGGCTCACACAAAAGGAAGCGCAGGAGATGGTAGTTGCAGATGCAATCAAGGCTGCTGAAGGTGTGACTCTGCCACTGACCCATGCCATTGCCATGGAAACCAATGCTTCCTGGCCCTGTGGTATTTCCCTTTTTTAAGGACAGATTGGCTTTCCTGAATAGTTAAGGCTGCAAATCGTGGGAGCTGGGCGATTCATCACCTCTTGGACCCTAAGTCCCTGCTGGTGACGAAGGCAAGGGCTAGTGGGGCTGCCATGAGCCCCCCGAGCATGGAAGCTGCCTAGTGCTCCGCTGGTACCTGAGACCACCTGCCCAGCGTCCCTGTGTACCAGACCGACAGCACTGTGTTGCTCAGAGCCCAGGAGGAGGAATGCAATAAATGAGGTTTGACCTGTTAGCAAAGGATTTTAAAATCTCAAATCAGGAGATGGGAAATTCGTCAAGGTAGTGCACACAGATATCTGCTCTGGGCTGCAGGGATGGCCTTGGAGCAAGGTCCATCTGTCCTGGGGAGGATCAAGGAGACTATTGGGATGTCCTGAGCAAGGAGAAACCTGACATGCCATAAAGGAGAGTCTCCTGAAACCAAACGATGTAAAAGCAAATGCAAAGGGATAATTACTTTCTCATTTGCTAGATCAACCAATTAAACCTCAGATAAACATTTGGAAGAGGGGAGGAAAAGTGCATAGGGAGAGAACTTAGAAAAAGCAAGAAGAAGATATGCACAAAGAGGAAGCCTTGTTGGATTCCTATAACCCCCTTAGTCATCAAAAGAGAGAGTTTTATAAGAAGTTGAAAACTTGGCCATTTGCAAGGCGAGGCAGGGAACATATGGTTGTGAATTAGGGAGCCAAAGGCCTGGGTTCTTGAGTTTAGCAGGAGAAACACTGGCTGAGTCGCATTTCCAGATGTTCTGCAGAGAAGCAAACTATTTATCAGGCTTAAGTCACCCTTTCCCACTGTTTCTTATGCATCCTGCAAGCCTTTGGGGAAGGTGAATTCGGCTTAATTTTCCTTTTTAGTAAAAAGTCCTTTCTAATGAAACATTTTTATACTAGGATACATCATATTAAAGGAAGCTGGAGAGGAAGTGGGACTCTATTCATTTAAGAATGGTTTTCATTTCCTCTTTTCATTAGCTCTGTTGCTTAATATAGCAATGCCTCCTTTACCCACAGGTGTTGAAGAGGAAAGCTTGGAGGCTCGATTTAGAATGCAACTCCTTGAATGCACTTAACAGAAAAATTAAAGCTGTAATAAAAGTTGTGTATTTCAACATGTGGGCTGAGATCCTATTCTTGCTTCCTTCCCAAAGCCCAAGTTAAATCCCAGGTCATGTCTGAAGCCTTCTTCAATCCTAGCAGTCCAAAATGACCGACCCATTTCCTGACTTCCTCCTTTGTCTGTCTATCCATCTACCCGTTTTTACATACAC